ACAGGGTTGGTTACTCTAGAGCAAATACACATAAAAACATAGAGGAGGTTAGGAAAATGATGAAAACCATGAACACCCAACATAGGAAATAAATGCAAATCATGAAACAGATTCAAACAGCTAGCGAGGAGATTAAAAATTCCATGAGAGGGGACCAGCAGCAGCTTGCGACCCTCTGGTAGGCCTGCCCCTTTGAGCCAGCTGCAAGAGGAGCCCAGCCGTGACGGTGCCCACACAGTGGTGTTTGTGCACCCTGCCCCACCACAAACAAGAGAAAGAGGGCCTTTCTGAGGCTCCTAAGATGAAAATTGAAGCCCACTGGAAAAGTGAACAAAATCTGCCATAAAGGCACACCACACCACCATAGTTGGTAATTTGGAGGGACCAGCATTTCACATTGGAACCTGGTCTGACTTCACAGGAAAAACAGCTGGAAACTACAGTAGAACCTTGCACAGTTTAGCCCAGCAGGAGGTCAGAGACCTCAACTTCGGTCTTGCAGAAGGAAATCAGCCTGAACCTCAGGGCACAGCTGCTGGCTCGATGAGACTTAGACCTGCACACTCCTGCCCATGCTGTCTATTGTGTCAGCAGAGGCATGCCCTGAAGGAGGCCCTCTATTTCTATTTGTATTTTTTATTTGCAAACTAATATTTTTCTCTTATCTTTAATTATTTAAATTTTTTTTTCTCAATTTTTTTCCTTTTTAATCTTTTTTTCTCTCCCCTTGGTCTCCATTACTCTCCCTTTTTGTTCTGATTCCTATCCTAATTTGTATTTATTTTCTTTCTTTTCCTTTTCTTCTTTTTCCTTCTCTCAACTGCCATTAATTTTAAAAGAAAGCGATTACAGTCTCTAGCCTCCATATTGCTGTTAGTTTGTGCTGTTCTTGTGTACATTTTGTTCTGTCTCCTCCTCTTCAACAGCTTCCTAGAGTTTGTGTGATCTTCCTGTGTCCTCTGACCTCACTTCTAACCTTTCTCTGTCCTATCTATATCCTTCTCTCCCCAACTCCTCCTAAATCCCCATCCTGAAGGGTAAAGTTGCTATATTGAAGAATTTATTCACTATAAGCACATTTTGGGCTGGTCCTCAAGTTTGATTTAACTCATAGAGTTAAAGGTGATAGATTAATAACTACTACAAATTGTCATTTTCTCAGCTGTGTTTGATGCTACTGTGTTGCTGATTGATTGTATCACTTGGGCGAAGTGTTGTGATTGATCTAATCAGTTGTCCTCCCTGGTATAATGAAAATGAGATTGCCTCAGAAACATTAGAGACTCAAAACCTAAAGACCAGCTATATCTGGAAGACATAATCCAGGAATTAAACCAAGGACAGTACCAATGACAAAAAATATAAATGCGATGACATTTAAGACACAAACACAGATTTCCACCTCACCAAAGGTAAACTCTGGGGGAAATGAAGTGGAAAAATCTGACAGTCAACCATCTGAACACCCTGAACCAAGAGCACAGCAAGTAAAAAATAGATAAATGAGGCACCAGAAAAATTCAAAACAAAACTAATTTCCCAGATAACCACAGAGATGGTGAGAAGAATGAAAGACATGACTAGAGATTCTAGAACAAAAACATATTTTAAAAATAGATGCGCTCAGGACCATGATGGATACCGTGAATGCCCAGGATAGGGAAGAAATGGAAACCTGAGTGCCCAACACAGGAAAGAAATGGAATCCATGAAACAGATTCAAACAGATATCCAGGAAATTTAAAAACTCTACTGAAAGCATTCACAGCAGAATGAATGAATGTGAAGAAAGAATTTCAGATATAGAAGCTAGGATTGCAGTCAGTGACCATGAAAAGAGATCTCTTAAAAACAGTAAGCGAGCATGAGAAATCGATTCAACAACTCTTAGATGATGCAAAGAAGAATAACATAAGACTGATAAGAATCCATGAAGTAGGAGGAGAAAGTACAAATGACATAAAGAAAACTGTTCACAGAATGAATGAGAGAACACTTCCCAGAGGGGAAGAATTTGACATACAGATGAGTGAGGCATATAAGGACGCCAACTAACCATGAATCTACACCTAGACATATAATAATCAAGATCCCGGAAACCCAACAGAAGAACAAAATACTACAAGAAGTTAGAGAAAAAGAAATAAATCACATGCAAAGGAAAGCCCATCAGAATCACAACAGACTTTTCAACAAACCCTGGAGACCCTGGAGTGAGGTATTTCAAGTCTCCAAAGAAAACAACCTTCAACCTAGACTAATTTATCCTGCAAAAGTATCTTTCAAACTTGATGGGGAAGTTGGGCGTGGTGATGCATGCCTGTAATCCCAGCACTTGGGAAGCTGAGGCAGGAGGATCACTGTGAGTTTGAGACTAGCCTGGGCTACATAGTGAGTTCCAGGTCAGTCTCAACTACATAGTAAGACCCTGTCTCAAAAAACAAAACAAAACAAAAACAAACAAACAAACAAAAAGTTGGGGAAATAAGATACTTCCATGACAAAGAACACCTGAGAAATTTCATGAACACCAAACTGGCACTCCAAACACTTCTAAACAATATCCTGGAAAAAGAAAATGAAGACCACAACTCCATAAGGGCCAACAGAGCAAATATACCAGGAAAGGCAATAAATTAAAGGGAGAGAGGGAAATATAAAAAAATAAAAGAACCAACAACAGGAAAATAACATGACAATGAAAAGTCAATACGTATCAGGTATAACCATCAATGTTAATGACCTCAATTCACCAATCAAAAAGAAATGGGCCGGCAGAACAGATTAAGAAGCAAAATCCTACCTCATGTGTGATGGTGCATACTTATAATCCCAGCAGTTGGGAGGCTGAGGCAGGAGGATCACTGTGAGTTCAAGACCAGCCTGGGCTACATAGTGAGTTCCAGTTCAATCTCAACTACATAAGGAGACCCTGTCTCAAACAAACAAAGAAACAAACAAACAATAAAACAAAAGAAAAGAAGCAAAAAAAATCCTACAATATGATGCATACAACAAACCCACTTAATCCACAAATAAATTCACAGACTAAGAGTAAAAAGGATGGAAAGCAATTCTTCATGCAACAGGAGCCAGGAAAAAAGCAGGGTAGCTATCTTATTTACAGACAGAATAGATTTCAAACCGCAACTAATTAAGAGAGATGAAGAGGCCACTACATCTTTGTAAAGGGAACAATCCAAGAGGAAGAGATGACAATCATAAATATATATGCACTGAATACTAATGTCCCCAACTATACAAAACAAATATTAATAGATATGAAAAATGAAATAAGCACTAATACAATTGTAGTCAGGGACCTCAATACTCCACTGACAAATAGACAGATGGTCTAGATAAAAAAATCAACAATGAACTAATAGAACGGAACCAAGTCTTAGAACAAACAGATTTAGTCTACAGCGTGTTCCACCCCACAAAATCAGAATATACATTCTTTTAGGCTGCACACGGGTCATTCTCCAAAATAGGCCACATGTTAGCTCATAGAACATGCTTAAGTAAATGCAAAGGAATTAAGTTATCCTCCATATATTATCAGACCACACTGGAATTAAACTGGAGGTCAATAGCATAAGAAATTGAAAGAACTTCACAAAAACATGGAAATTAAATTAACAACCTGCTAAACAACCATTGGGCCACAGAGGAAATTAAAGAAGAAATTAGACAATTTCTACAATTAAATGATAATGCCAATCCATCATACAGGAATCTATGGACACAATGAAAGTAGATCTGTGAGGGAAATTCATAACAGTAAATGCCCATAGTAGAAAAACTGAGATCAAATAAACAGAATCTACTTTATGGTGCGAAGGACCGAAACCAGAGCCCCTACCACTAGGCTACCTGCAGTGATCTTAGCAGGTGACGGGTGTCCACGATTGCTTTAGGGTTGCCTAGCTATAGCTGAGTGCCTGCTCCTGCCTGCTTGGTAAACGGAAAACTTTAGCTCTGACCTCACACGTAACACTAAGTATGTGCTTTCTTTCCCACCACTTGCCTACTGCTCAGGCTGCTGGGAGGACCAAAGGGGATCCCTGGGAAGTCCTCCTGTCTGGGCCCACCCTGTCCCTTGGACCTTGTTCTGCACCACTTGCTATCTTGCTCAAGTCATGATCTTTGCACAGCCATCTTGTCACCCTTCTAATTCTCTGCAAGGCACTTACCACATGGTGAGCAGGGAGCTGTGGACTCACGTCTTGAACTGTGTACCCAGCACACTGTATGCTCACAAACATTTAATGACTAGCTGAGGAGAGTGAAAACACAGACGGGCAAAAGGCACGAGAGGAATATCAAGTGCTTTAGTCACCAACTCCCCTGCATTCACCTGGGAATGGCAGCGACATCTCACTGCCTGTGTATGTAAGTGAAAGCCTGCGGAATGTAGGCTTTTTTTTTTCCACACTTGAAGTTGAATCCATTCGCTGTCCACATGTCCTTCTTTGGGTGTTACTGTGAGGCTCCTCATGCATATGAGGACACTTCCGTTCCCAGGAGAAAAGGAAGAATTTACTTCTGAGGTCACTGCAGCAAAGCCAAGCTGCTCTGCTCACAGTTTGGCCGAAGGTGGCCAGATGGCTGGAGGCTGCCAGGAAGCTACTGGAACTGTGGGCTGGCACCAGTGGAACCTGCTCCTGGACTGCAAACAGAGCCATCCACAGGATCCTTCTGTCACCAACCTGCAACATAATCATGGCATTGCTGGTTTAGCTGTGCTTTTCAGTTAAGCCTGACAGAAACTGGTTTCAGTCCAATGGAGATTTCAAAAGATTAGTTCATATAGTGCAATAATGTATTGCAGTACACTACAGCTACTTTCTTCAATCTGTTTACAATCTTCCTATCAGGAAGGTAAAATGAAACTCTATTATCACTGGGTTAGGAATAAGTATAGCCCATGAACGCAGGCAGTGATGCCTATCTTAGCCTCACTTTTCCGAGCTCAAAAAATACCATCAGGGGAAAGGTGCAGAGTAAGAATCTTTATTTGCCTGGTGTGCAGCATGAACAGAGCAGTGGCCCCTCTGCCGACACTGGCTGAGTTGGCAGGAAGAGGAGGCAGTGCTTGTCTATGGCAGTTTGGAGTCCCGCTGTGATTCCTTTCCAGTGCCCACCAGATGCACAGCGAGCCGTCTGCTGCCCGGAGAACAGCTCCATTATTGTTCTTAGGCCCCAAGCGAGAGGAAGGGCTTCTGATGCTTCCTCTGACTCCATGTCATTGCACTTGTTTATTTCTTGTTTCAAATTAGCTGTACAGCTCCAGAAGCAACGAGAGGTGCAATGGTTCTGTATCGGATCAGGTGCTGAGAGCCCTCCTCCAAGTCAATCACATAGTCCCTGGAAAAGGAGGGAGAAAATTTACCTACAGAGCTCAGCTGACCCTTTTGGGGGTTATTTTCCATGGGGAAAGGCAGATGTCACTCACTTCTGCTCATCTGCTTCAGGCTCCACCAGTATGTTTTCTTGTCGTTCTTTCACTCTCAGAAATACATAGGAATCTAGGTCTGGTTTGGGAACTGCCAGAAAAACAGTAATGCAATCAGAAAACGTGCAGAGACAGCTGACAGGCTGAATGGTATCCAGCACTAATATGCCTGTGACACAAAAGCAGCTCAGGAGGGTGACACGAGGAGAGATCCAGCTCTTCTGGAAACCACTTACTCAACAACTGAGAAGTTCTTATAATGTGCAGGGAATCCTGCCATGCCGTGGACCCCCGATCTGAAAGGGAAGCATCCCAAGCCCCCAGCGGATGCCTGAAACTCTGGATGGTGTAAGTTCCCAACTTTCACAGACACAAGGGGACCTCACATTACAAACATTCGTAGGTGCATACAAACTGCACAAGTAGCTCACGTGTCTGCCATGTCACAGTTGTGCTGCTGTGTGCTCACTGTGCAGTGTGACAGGCACTAGCCGCTGGAGGAAGGGGAGGAGGGAGATGGGGAGCTGAAGGGTCACCAGCAAGAGAGGGAAGGCAAGACAGAATTTTGCTCACACTTGATGTTGATTACACAGGCTTTTTTTTTTTTTTTTGGTACCAGGGCTTGAACTCACAGACCTTGTGCTTGTGAGGCAGGCAGCAGAACCACTGAGTTAAACCCTAGCCCATTACACAGGTTTACGCTCTTGGAAAAAACAAGGCGGTGATGTCTGAGTAGTGGCTCTTTTCTTCTCATCACAGATGACTCTATCCTGCCCTCCCTCCTCTAGTTAGTAACTCTCTTCTGTCAGTTCACTGCATGCAATCCTCCAAATGCCCACTTGTTTTACTGTACCATACCACCATTTTAAGGTAACTGTAAAAGTAAAAATAATTTACAGTGGTTTTAGTTTTTTTATGCTTTACATTGTATATTTGTGTCAAATGTATACAAGACTGACTGTCAGACTTTCGAAAAAGTTCGACTTAACAAAAGTTCACCTGGAATGGAACTTGTTAGTAAGCTGGGGACTTACCACAGTAAGAGATTAACAGCAGTGGAGTTAGCAGAGCAGCTGTAATGATGCTGTAAAAGTCATGTGAATGTGGTCTTACAGAGCAGTGCTCATGCTCACCCTGGGGTGATATGAGATGACACAGGGCCTCCCAGGGGAGTGACACAGGCACTAGGACACAGACAGGCCTCTAGTAAGGAGGACCTCAGCACAAGAAATGAGATTCAGGAGCAATCAATCTGATGAGAGATTTCCACAAGGCGTGGTGGCGCACACCTGTAATCCCAGCACTCAGGAGGCTGAGGTAGGAGGATCACTGGGAGTTCTAGGCCAGCCTGGGATACCTGGTGAATTGAAGGCCAGCCTTGAAGCTTACTTATCTCTTCCTTTCTACTGTGTGAGGAACCACAGAAGGTACCACGCAGGACAGGCTCTTACCAGACACCAAATTTACTTGTGCCTCAAACTTGGACCTCCAAGCCTTCAAACTGCAAGCAGTTTAAATGGACCAAGTAACTGTGTGAGCCCTCGGGGCTTCTGGCCTGGCCTAGGTAAGGGCAGAGATGATTCTCCAAGCAAAGTAGGACCTGAGGTCTGCTGACCTGTCCTCGGTGCACCCAGCTGACTTGTGAGCAAGGCAGGACCCATGTCCTCGAGAACACTCTGAGCTGGTAGATGTAGCAGACCATGAATGACTGGGGAGTACAGACCTCCCTAAGCCAGGTGCCCCGTTGCTTCATCCAAGGTTGGGGGTTCCTAACTGCCTCACCTAACTTCGGGGGCCAGTGAAAGGAGGGCTGAGGGAGCTGCTGAGATGAGCTGTCCTTCCCTCCACACTCAATCCTGTGCTGTCTTTCCTAACTAGAGAAACTTTCACAGGAAATGAAGAGTGACAGGGACCCATGAAGGTTTCCTCGTCTCCTGTGTCCTGGAATCTGCTCGGTGCAGAGCCAGCCCCCGTGTGTGCCCAGCACTCACAGATGCTGAGCTGATGGTGCCGATGGGACAGATGCTGCGTACACGATATGTCTGCACCTGCAGCGGCAGCCTCAGGAGTCCGGCTCTCTGGGAGAACACAACAGCCACACTGCGATGGCCACCTCTGCTGTCAGTTCTTTCTTTTGCTAACCGGAGCCCTTCCTCTCCTCTCTTGGCTGCTAATTTGCATACTTAGTTTTCCATATGTGAGAAAAAAAGAATGAAGATGAAGATTCTACTCTCAGGCACCTGGGGCTGGGGTTTAGCTCAGTTGCTCTGCCGCCTGCCTCGCAGGCCCAAGGACCCGAGTTCGATCTCCAGTACAAAAAAACAAAAACAAAACAAAAAAACCCCCAAAAGAAAAAACGGTCTCAGGCACCTGGAGATATTTGTGATCACCTGAGCTAGGGCTGAAGAGAAGGGCTGCTTACCTGCCCTCTGGAGGTCCACCTTTTGTAAGTTTGGAGGCATATGCTTCAGGGCGACATTCTTCAGATAGGTCTCTATGTGAGCCATGTACCTGAAACAGAAGTGCAAATCGCTGCGGCTCGAAGGGCTGGCAGATGGATGAGGCTCTGGCGCTGGCTCAGGGGCCTGGGTGTCACCATGGAATCGCATGCCCACAACCAAGGGCCAAGGCCGTGGCCATGTCTTGCTTACTCACTCCTTGGCAAAGGCAAACTCCTCTGGAGAGAGGCTGGAAGGCTCCCCCTCAGGGCGTGTTTTCTCTTTCTCAAGGACATGAGGGAAAAACTTCTCTATCTGTGAGGATAAATAAAAATCATGAAAACATTTGTCAGCTGTCATCATCCACCCCACCTTTTTTTGAGACAGGGTTTTACTATGTAGTGGGTCTGGCCTGAAACTCCACTAGCTGGTCTCCCACTTGTCCTCCTGCGTCCTGGGAGTACAGGCATGTGCTGCCACACAGCTTTCAAACAAGCTCATTTTCTGAAAGAGGTCAAGGCAAGGGGCTAGTGATGTAGCTCAGCAGCACGGTGCAAGTCCTGCACTGCCAGGCCCTAGGTTGAATCCCTAATATCCTGTGCCCTCTCCCCAGCGGAAAGTAAAACTTAACAGAAAGGTGCATTTTCATGACTAAGACCTTCTAATTATAAGACCTGTGCTCTGGACTTCAAGAAAGTAGATTTCTGAGAATTCAGAAAAGGTAGAAGCTGTAAAAAGGAAGACGGTTCCAAATGGGAGGTTTTCATCAAAGAAATAAAACATACTGAAGAAAAGGGTATCACTGAACATTTTATGTAATCGTACAGGATGTACATTATGAGCTGAAATATGCACAAAAGCTGGGAAGATGTAAACAGAGTATACAAGCATATACAGTTGTGACATTTAAGTAAAATAAAACCAGAAATGCAGTGAGGCTTGGAAAAACTGTTTAAGCACCAAAAATAATCAATCAACCAAACAGCCCCCAAACCACCACAACCAGACAAAATAAAAGTTAAGGGTAACAAAAAGGAACCAGGAAGGGGTCCGTCTGCTGTGCAGTCAGTGCAGTTCCGTCCTCTGGCTGTCCGGAACGACAATGGCCAGGAGGAGCAGAGCACTGGTCTGTTTGGCTCACAGCTGTTATGTCCTGGGAGAAATCAACATTTGCAAGGAGCCGTTTTTCTTCCTGTCCTACCTAAATTGCTCTTATATCCTTAGAGTACTACAAACATATGATGTTTCATGATCTTGGAAGAATCACTAAGATCAGAAGAGGGTTGAAAGGCTGGACATAGGTAAATCTGGTTTTCCAAAATGAAAGAAGGCAGTGTATCTTCTAATGGAGACCAATGGCCTGCATTGTACTAGAACAGGTCGTTTTAAAAGATGGCTTGTGAAGCCGAAGAAAACGATACAGGAGTGAACATGAAGAGGATTTAGCTGACCAGTGTGGGGCTGGGGGTAAAGAAAAGGTAAATGGCCTATAGCTGGGGTAAAGAGTCATGCTGTGTGTGTGCATAAATACATACCTGTATTTTGTTCCTTTTACACTTTTCTTGTATCTTTTAAAAAATATCTGATGTCTTTGTGACACTGCTGTGGACAAACTAAACCTGGGGCTACACAACAGTAGCAAAAAGTTCACAAATGGTTGAAGAATACAGTGGCTAGGTATCAGTCTGCAGGAAAGCTCCTGGTGAAATACTCTTATGGTGGGCTCCGTCCTATTCTTTTAGGTTGCTGGGGCTGGAACCCAGGGATGCTCATATGCTAAGCAAGTGCTTTTCCACGGAGTGACACCCTAGTTTTGGCTCAGTCTTATTAATGAATCAGACACAATTTTTATGACATACATATAAAAACTGCTGCTTATGGGAAAAAAAGACAAAAATTATTGATGAAATAAAGGGTTGAGAGATGGCTGTTACGTGAGAAGATCCGGATTCAGAGATCAGGGAGATGTCCTTTTTTACTAAGATAAAATTTAAGAAGTATAAGCATCAAGCTCTACTTTCAGGGGTCAAAACCTGAGCCATACAAAGACAGGTGGTGACTGGATAGGGAAATTGTAACTTACACCCTGTAGGAGGGGCTAAAAGTGAGTGCACAATGAGCTTGATGAACGGATCTGCCCCATACACTGATGTGAGCTGGACAGCATCACAGCAGCTCTGACTTCCAAGCCACAGAGTGATCATCTCGTCTCCCCCAGGGGCCAGGCCATGCTGGGGGACTGCACTGCGTTCCAGGTGGTGCGATCTCAGACGTGATGAGAGAGAGTCTCTTTAGAGAAGAGAGCGGGAGAGGAAATGGACTCAAAGAGTTGGGATGTTTCAGTGAGAAGAGTTGGATGAGAGGTGTGGGGAGTCTTCCGCTAAGTGAAGCACCGTCATGTAGAAGAGAGTACACATTGACTTGTGATATCCAGAGACAAAGTGCAAACAAACTTCAACAAAGTAAGAATTTTCAACGGTTAAAATAGTTATCATACAAAGTAAGAATGCATCATTGCATTTTTATGAGTCAGAGGGTCACAGAGCTATAGCAGAATGCGAAGTTAACATGCTCCCTTCTGACAGATGAGAAGCCATTTTTAACACTAGCCCTTTTTGTCAATATTCCTTATTTAACCAATGCAAATGACTCCTCCTCAGCAGTGCCTTACTATAACTCTAGGAGCGCCATTTGTAAGAGGAAATCAGACTATAAATTGGAAGGTAGGTACTCCAGGGGAGTACAACCTATGTTTCAACTGTGCTTCCAGGAACAATCTCTTGGCTGCCTGACTCTGGCTATTCCAGTGCTGGGTAATCAGGTCCTGGGCCCTTCCAGGCCCTGCCCGCCTTCTCCCTAGGACATCTGGTCTACCTCAGAAGCATCACTGCTCCAATGCCCACAGGTATCTCTATGTCAAACCTTCGTGAGTCGACACCGCAAGTAGCTGCTGAGGACATAGCGGATCCTCTCCATCTCCATGCGATGGATACTGATCTTCAGATCCTCCTTTCTAGCTCGTTTCAGATTTTCTTCCTATTAAAATATTAATTAAAGCTTATTTTAAAAAAATGATGGTTGGGTCGGGGATTAAGCTCAGTGGTTCCAATGTCTGCCTTGCAAACACAAAGTCCCAAGTTTGATCCTTGGTACCAAAATAACATGGTCAAAGACCAGGGACCATCAGCACTGGCAAAGTTGAGGACCCAAAGACTATTTCAGTTGAAGGGAAACAAAAAAAAAAAGAAACACATAAGAGTATTCATTTTTTTAATTTTTTAATTATACAAATATGACTATGGTCTCATGGCATAAAGTTCAAGCAACACTCATTTACTTTTAGAAAATGACCATATGAATAGAATCTGAATGTGGTCAGCCTGAAGGGCACAGAAAGGCTCCAATCCAATTGTACAGAAGAAGTGTAGCACAGAGAGGAAATGTCTAAGAGGTCTAGAAAGCAATATTAAAACACTACTTGAGAAACTAGAATACCAATACTTTAAAGAGACTCTGAAGTTATGACACAGGGCCAGATCAGCTAAGCTAAGGACCACAGATTTTAATGTTTGCAGGCCAGGTAGGGAACAGGTGTAGGGGGGCAGTCAGGGATTCTGGGGAACAGAGAATACTACAAAGGGTGGGCCTTGGCCTGCTCTGGTCAACTGTTCCAATGTGGAGGCATGGGTCAGTGATGCTTTGTAAATGTAGACAACATATAATATTTTAAAGTGCTGAGCTGAACAAAATAGATTTGCTATCTGACAAACTCCCTCTATGCTGACCAAATGCTTTAACTTTCTCTTCCTTAGTGACCAAGCAACTCTTACCATATGATCTAGCTGCTCCACAACACATTCTACAATTTCAGGTTTGCTTTCTAGCAGTTCGGGGGCAAACTTTTCATTCATCCAGGCCTAAAAAACAACACCAAAGAAAACAGGCCAGATCACTTGACAGACGATCACAATCCAGAAAGTCAGTTAAACCCATAAGAATCACAGATATTGCAGGCAAAGAAAACTGATCACCAGTTGGAAATACTGGGAATGCTCTGAAGACAAACTATGCTTCACTGATAGCTTTTCCACACCTTTTAGTGAAGAGGATATGTTCACAACCATTTATTCAATTGTTATTAAAAAAAAAAAAAAAATCACCATTGCCAGTGTAACTTGAAGAGTAACGCCCCCTTGTGTTCGAAGAGTAACATTAACATCCAGCTACTTCCTCATCAGCTGCTTCCCTCCAGGGGGCGCCGCTCACCGTTTTCTTCCTGAGACTAACCCAACACTGAACCTATGCATCTCTCCATTCCTAAAGCCCACTTACCCTTATCTGTTCTACTCATCCTTATACCATTTAAGAAGAACTGGCTACAGGGATTCTTATCTTATAGATGGAAAAAGCAGGTTAATTTTCTAAAGGCTCCCAATTATAAAGGATCACAATAATTTATCTTTTTAAGGTATGGCACCATGAGATTAAATGTCTAATTTATGACTCTGGCCCACCAATTCCTTATCTTTCACACTTTACCAAGATTTAGAGAACTGAAATACTCATAAGTGACTAAAGAGAGCTACACTTATCCTTCAATTACAGAAAACTGAGCTTTAACATAGCTTGGAATTTATATCAGGCTCACCTTTTTTCTGATGTCCTTGAGTGTCTGCTTCCCTAATTATCGTCATTATGACACATCTTTAAATAGTAAGCATTCATATAATCACAAAGTTGTTTTTCAAATGCTTGAGCTTCTGTGATAGTGTTACTATTTTTTGGTGCTAGGGATCGAACCCAGAGTCTTGCATGGAAAAGCAAGTGTTTTACTACTGAGCTGCACCCCACCCTGCAGCTATACAGGCAACCTTTACAGTGAGAATACAGTAGATCAAATTTTCTGGAGAACTTATCAAAAGCCACTGATACCAACAGTTGTGTGCATACAACTTCATTAAAGAATATTATTCTTATTTTAAAAGTCCCTTTGTTTCCCCCCTCCTCAGCAGACTGAGTTTAGGGTTTAGTTTTCTTATAGTTTTACTGCATTTGTTTATATCTCTACATAATGCTTCCCAACCTTCTCATGAAAAGACATTCAAAGAAAATGATAATGCTTCTATGTCACAGTGGGGGAAAAGGATGTAGATTTCAGGAGATCTTTCATTTATATTATGAAATGGTGGTCATACAACATTAGTAAGAGTTTTCTATTTGTATAAATTTTCAAAATTTGTAGTAAGAAATTTGTACTTAAATCCAGATTCTGGGCTGGGGATTTAGCTCAGTGGTTCCAGTGCCTGCCTCACAAGCAACAAGGTCCTAAATTCGATCCCCGGTACTGGAAAAAAAAAAAAAAAAAAAAC